CCTACTCTTCTTTGCTTAGTATCCTCAAGCAATAATATATTGCATTTCTTTTAACTTGTGATCTCCTAAATTTGCATTATAAACCTTTAACAATAATTAACTTTATTAAANAGTATACCCTGATCTCTTAATTGTTTAACTTAACTATTACATATCTATGTCCATATACTTATATTTCATCTTTGCTTTTTAATTGCCTATTCAATGTGTCAATTTATACTTACAGTTTTCACTGTAGTTTTATTCTACCTCATTTAGCCCTTTTTTAAGCTAAGCCTTAATCGTTTCGATTAATGCCTTACTTTACTTAAATTTCATTATCCAAACCAGTTATTCAAGCTAAACCCTCATATTGCATCCTTCTTCTCGTCTCTTCAATTTGCTTTGATCTCTTAACTGCTCCACTCATCAAACTACATTTTTCCATAAAACCCATCTATAACATCCTCATTCCCACTGTCTGATGAGAGCCATCAATCACAGGGATGTAGAAGTTCTCACACATGCTTTAAAAATAGCAAGATGTATTTTTGATCTCTCCATCCAAGATCTTGTCCATAGTTTTAAATGAAGATTAGCAGGAATCTGATTCCAACAATTTTTTTATTATCTCTTCGATCTTTTCCCTTAACCATTATTTTATTAATGTAGGAGCCCATTTCACCTATGAAGAGGTTCAGCAAACGCTATCTCCTTTTAACAATTAGATGTTAGAGTGATAACTATTTTCTATTAATTTCAAATGATGACTGTGCTTCTAATGTAAGGAGGATTGAAACCACTTATCAAAAGTATTTCCACAATGCTTAATGTCCCTCGATAGTTTCTACACGCAAGAAGTTTTTGGTAAACAAAACTGAATGTTTTGAATTACCATCTCTAACCATCCAATTGATATCGAATTTTGATTTTCCAAAATTTGAAATTGTCAAGAGACAACCCATCAACTCTCTTCCTTTAGAATTTTAGGTAATAGACCTTATTTGGTGATCTGGAATTTCATCTGACCCTCCAAGAGTGTAATTATAATTGATATCATAATTTAGTTAATTTCATTTCTTTTGATTCTTATTCAATTCTTTTAAATGGGTCTTTTCTTCAAGGCAAATTATTATCAATGCATGTATTCAGACTTTTTTTAATTGTTAATTGTAATACAAAATAATAAATTGGTCAATCCAAATGAATGTATTTATTGACCTATGATATCATCATCAATTTAGGATTTTAATTGTACTTTTTTCAATTATACACCAATGTGGAGGTGTGCCTTAATAATACTTTAAAATAAATAAGAATCAGAATTTATTTTAGAGAAAAAAGTGAAGTTTAGAGGTAAGAACTTGGTGAAAAAAATCTATCAAATAATTGATGAAATTCAACTCTAGAATATAGTGTAGATTATACACCTATAGAACCTACTCTTCTTTGCTTAGTATCCTCAAGCAATAATATATTGCATTTCTTTTAACTTGTGATCTCCTAAATTTGCATTATAAACCTTTAACAATAATTAACTTTATTAAATTATTTGACATTAAAAGCTAAATTATTATAATTTAATTCTCTTGTAGAGACCAATTCACATGTTAAAAGCTAACTTTTTTTTAGGATATTCTATTTAGTTATACTTAGGTTTATTGAATAGCCATATAATCAGGAATTAATTCAGCCAATTTGAAACAACTTTACATTAATTAATAATTGATTCAATAAATTCATTCAATCTACTTTTTCCGAATACTAGTTTTACTAATAATACGACAACAAGATTTTTATTTCAATATAATCAACTAACTAGTTCAGAGCACTTATTTTCTAGCTAATGAATTCAGGGTCTGAATAAAATTAATGTCTAGACATAAATCTTGAATATTGAATTGATTCCTCTTGAATTCATCTCTAGAAGAGACGGAATCTTTCGGTTGTGATTCTCATCACATTTTTATCAATAAGAACATGCTTGCTTTTCTGTTATTAAGTTTTTAATTTGAGTTATTATAATGATATAAGATTATAAAGAAGAAAGGAGGCCGATGACCTACTTAAATTCTAGAATGTAAGAGTTAGATGTAGAGTTAACAACGAAATGAAGTTGATTTAATAGTACTTAAGTTAATAAAGAAAGAGTAATAAATAGATTTAATCACCTTAAAAAGTTTGAATTAAAAGGTCTTTTATATTTTAAAATTATTTCTATATATTGTCTTTCTACTTCAAATTGATTTTATTGAAATTTATCAACACATAATTAATTTCATACAACAAAATATTTCATACTCATGTTTATTTTAAATGAGTGGTGAATTATTCAAAATCTTTCTGAATTAATAATTAACTGTTTTGCAAACTATTCTATATTTACATTAAATAAAGCAATATTTGAAAAAATAAAAATCCTTCTCTTAATTAAATTGTTTCTTCGTTATTCTGGATATAATATTAAAAATCATGAATGATAATTTATTTTTGAGGTTATACTTGCTTCTTAAACTAAATTGAGATAGATTTAATGGAGTTGGAATAATTTGTAATGATTAATTTTATGCCTTGTCAAGTTAGACATACAGAATAACTAGAAAAACCTGATTAGATGTTTAGTAAATTTCAGATCTAATTACCATTATTTACAGATATCATTCTATTAATTAATAAAAACCCTCATAAATAGCTATATATAGGTTAAGCTATCAAAAGATTTTAAATATAAAGAAAGGTATTAAAACTGAAACCTATCCAAGTCCATATCTAGATTATGTTATCATTGAGATATAATTAGAGGCCCTAATTAAAGATTATTATTTTATATTTTAGTATAAACTATTAAAATACTTTAATATATTGAACATAATTTGGGTTGCTTAAAGTTGTTTTTAAAATTTACATTTAAATATTTACTTGCATCATTTATGATACTTGAATTTCGGATATATCAATTACTCTAGTTTGAAGTTTAAATTGAAATTGGTTAAATAAAAAGCAATCCTCTATCAAAGTAGCGAAAAAATTTTTAATAATATGAAGTTTACTCTCAATAAGCTCTAATTGACTTATTTTCTACTAAAAGCCAGTCTACATTAAGCTTTTGTACTATATTTTTATATGAGGTTTTGCAAACGCTTTCCATAAATTTGGAGATAATCTTTTTCGAAAAGCATAAATTCTGTTTTTCATCAATGGTTTCAGAAAATCATTAAAAAATGAAAAAATAAAAATATCTTAGAATAATTCATTTTATATAGTATTTAATAAAAGCGTATTTACAAATCAACCTTTGGGTCTAATAGTATTTTCGGAAACACTCATTTAAAGTTTTAGATAATTTAATGGAACAGATAAATATTTTCGGATGTGTTTTATTTTTTATAGAATATGAAATTGGATTTATGCCTTATTCGCTATTTTAATTCAAAACGCAATGAATTTTAAATACAACCATTATATATTCCAAACCATTTTCATTTATTCTTTGTAACCAAAATTGTATTCACTAAAATAAGAATTTCACTATTCTTACAAATCACTTAAAATATAAATTCAAAGAAATTTATTCTAAAATTTCAGATACACTTTACAACACAGCTAACCTATAATTATTAAGTTATCTTGATATTTGAATTTGTTGAATTATAAAGTCAGTCAAAATTATTTTAGATTTTAATTAGATAATAATTATCCACAATAAAATAACCTTACTATATCTGTAACAATGAATCTATTGAAAATAAAGATGCAATAAATAGGGGGGAATCTTAGAAAAAGCAATAATATAGAAGAAAATGAAATTCAAAATTTATTAGAATAGAATTACTAGACTACGTTTAAATTGTATTGGAATTTATGCTTTAGGTGTCTCGGCTATTGATCATCTAAATTTGATTCAGAATCCAACCATAATTGGGATTTTTTTAATTTGTTATCGATTTTTCATAATATTCATTTTTTTTTGTTTCCTTTTTAGATTTTACTAATTATAATTGTATCTAATTATGTAATTCTCTTTCGACTTTATATTGCCAATTTTGAAACCTGTTATTCATTATATCTAATGTATTGTTCACAACAATTGATTATACTTTATTAAACCAAGTATTTTACTGAAAATTATGATATTTTCCAAATTATTTAGACTATAGACAATAGAGTTTCTTGAAAATCTATATTAACCATTATAAATTTGAAACCAAATAGTGCAATGTTGATACATTTTAGAAAAAAAAATGTATTTTATAATTAGTTATTATGTTTAAATAACAGCAAAAATCCATTGGATTCATTATTTCATAGTATAAAGACAAAGTCTCCATCAAAGAAGGTATGTTCAGATTCTAAGTAATTTTTCTTTTGATGATTCACTGTCTTTGTTTAAGGATTTATCAAATCAATTTTTTAAATTTATTCAATAGTATTAGATCTGTCTTTAAACACTATTTTAATTACTTAGAATTTTTACATTCAAAATTGCTTTCCTGAAAGTTAATGAATAAATTTGAATCTTTCTGGACACTAGAACACTATTCATTTTGGCATAAAAGTTATTAAATGCGATTCGATCTAATTTTTCTTAATTAAAGCACAAATTCAAAAAAAATTTTCTAACATTTAATTGAATTATCAGACTTTCTTTTTAGAGAATTAATTATTATTTATTTTTAACAGTGAACTATTTTAATATATTCTTTGAATACTCAAACATATTCTTTTATATGAAATTAAGTTTCATCATCCTCCTTTTTTGCTAAATTAACAAATGAAATAGTTTAGGAGTCTTTACATTATTATTATTATTATTCAAAATTTTAAATAGAAAACAGAATCTGTTACAAAACCAGGGTGTTTTGGTATTTGAAGATTATAGAAAAGATAAAATATATATTTCGAGTGAAAAAAGGTAATTATCGATTAATTTAGAGGATATTCAGGCCATAGTAATATTCAAAATTGCATGGACAAGCGATCCTTTATTTAATAATAACATTCTTAATTTATTTATTACAGATATGGAGAACGACTTATTCATTTGCAATGAGAAAAACTTCATTAATCATATAATTGAAATATGCAATGAAGACGATGAGAATTTGGAATAAGAAAAAATAGATAATTTATATGGAGTTGGCTTAGCAACAGTCTAAATTCCAATATTTTTGACAAATATGACACGATAGCAATAAGTGACACAACCAAACACTGTTTTTGTCAGAATCTATGAGGATACTTTTGTAGTAGATCCCATACCAACCTTACCAATAAATACTGCATGTTATTTTGAATCAAATGCTAAAAGTTATAAATTTTAAAGGGAACTTAATAATTTTCAAAAATAACATGAGGAATTTCTGGAAGTATTTCTTATATTTGATGATGAACTTGATAATTAAGTACATAGAGCAGCAGAGAGAATTATTGCTGAAAATTTTAGGCAGAATCAATTTCTTAACGGGTTATGAACAATTTATATCAAATAAAAATCAAAATTCTATAAATAGTTCATTGTTGATGTTCTTTGGGGTTTAATCAATCTCATCAATTAAAATTAACATTACTAAGAATTTGATTAATAAAATTGAATTTATTTTTGCTCCACTCAAACATGAAGGAGAAACCTTAATTAAACCTAAAGATCAAACACTCTAAGTGTACTCTCTTTTGGGGGAAACCAAAATTATTTTTCCTGAAATAGAAGAAGTTTCAAAATTCTTTTATCATCTGATCATAAATTTTAGAGTTCATCATTTGGAGTCATAAATTACCAATGATAATCAAACCCAAATTAATTTTAAGAGATAACCTGATTTGGAGTTTATATAAGCATTTGTAGATATCACATTGATTGCCTAATACATCCATCAACTTGTAAGTATTATTGATAAAGAAAGATAAATAAAAGCAATAAATATATCGCATACCGATGAAATAACAACTAATAATAAATATTCATTCTATTCATTTGTAGATGATGTGATAATCATTAATTATTGCAAGTACTTTGATTTTAGGTTTTCAAATTTCATATTAGATTATTTAAATAGAAAATAAATCAAAATAAATAAATAAAGTAGAATAAAACTTCGAAAAAAAAATAGATTTAATTCCTAAAGCAATATTTTATGGTGTGAATTCGACTGATTAGGTAGAATTGCTATCAATAATTGATATGGATTTAATAATTCACAATTAAGAAAAAGCAGATCCATTAGAATTTAAAGAATTGATATTAATACCAAAAGTAAATCGTTTTTCTATCAACTTATTCTAGTTCAAAAGTTTCAAACATCCTACACTTGTTAAATATAATAGTCAAAGATAAAGTCAATATTAAGTAGGAGATGAGATCCACATTTTGCTGCATCCAATTAACTCTGAACCTTCCCTATATCAATAATTATAAAAATTGTAGGTAAAAGTGAGTTTAGGACAAATGGAACAAAACAAATACAATCTTAATCAACTGATATTTTAGACTTCAAACTTTGAGCATTTAATGGCTAATTGTTTATTTTTGAGGAATATTGCGCAAAAATCACCTTCTTCGCAATTATTAATGTAAAATGAAGTAGTCAATTAAAAACCAAATTGAAATTTTAGAGATGTGTATTATTAGATGTATTTATTTAAGTTGTAGACTTTCTTTAAGATAAATCCTTCATTAGATTTAACAATCTATCTAGTATTTGAATTCAGAATTTCATTCAAATTCCTTTTATATTTGATAGAATTCAAAAGACAGTTTAATCTGATATAAAACAAGTTGCTGAATTTTTCATTCATAAATGAATTTTCCAAATATTTAGATAAATCCGTTGTGAAATAATAATAGTGTTGATTTAAAATATACCAAATGCTTATTTCATTATTTTAAATTGACGTCACTCTCAAAATCTCTCCTGAAAATATAGATTATAATTGTGAATGATCCATTGAAAATGTTACTAATTTGTAGCAAAGGTATATCATTTCATTAGTATAACTAATCAAGCATCTATCAACTTTTAATTTATTAAAAATAAACGAATTTTGTTGAACAGCTCTGAAAATCTAATTAAAAAGTCGTAAATTTTTTGGATGTTATGATGATACAATTAAATGCTAGCATCTGGAACAATGATATTATTTGTTATTTGAATTATTTATGAGGGGTTTGATTCGATTTTCACATTCAACCGTATAATTAATATCTAATTATACAGCAAATAAGGGGTATTACCAAATAAAAATGGTTTATCAAGAAGGCAATTCGTATCCACGAGAGTATTTTCCACTCTGCTAATCAATTAATTTGCTTACAAAGACCTTCAAAAATGAAGTTGCATTAATTCTCCAAATCAATTTCTTATTGTCCTTCTTGTCAATTAAAGAATATACTCTTACTTTTTCCACAGAGTTAAAAAGCTTATTAAAAATGCCTTAAATGCTATAGGTGGTAATAAACATTCTTAAAATTTGATTGAATCATTCAAAATATAGAATGGAAAGTCAACAACCCATTCCTTTTATTGTTTTTATCCTTCAATTAAATCACCTAAATATCATTATATTTGTAAAGATCCTAAACTACAATAGATATTGTTTTTCTACTGGCATATTATTCAATGAATTCCTTCTAACTTAGTTTAATTAAATTCAACTTAACATTCAGTTATTGGAATTAATAGAATTCTGAAAAGATTATTTCCTTTTGATTCTATATTTTATGTCTCTGTCACACTTAATAGGTGTTATCAGTTTAAAGTTCCAACATGAATTGGAAATCCACTCTTAATTTCTAATTCTTGTTTGTGGAAACTTGTTTAGATAATATAAAGTAGATGGTTTTTTGAATGGATATTATTTTTCTAAAGTTTTACCTTTTTTTTAAAAATGATAGAATCTCTCATACAAACTTGGATACACATTGTTTTCATTTTGTTTAAGATCCTTTTTACTCTAATTTTTTATTTGATGTGAATGAATGTTAGCTTGAATATGCAATTTGATTAAATCAAATTCCTTTGTAATAAATTGACTCAAAAATTGACAAACTGAATTTAAAACTACCTTCTGTGAATCCAATTAAGAAATCAATGGAAGAAAATCATTGTAGGGCTGAAGTAGTAATTATTTTAACATCTATTTTTCTTATCCACAAGAAGATAATTGTGACAAAATATTCATAATGATTGATTCATTCTCTTCTGAGATGTCTTTATTCATAGAAAGGCAATGTGCAATATTCTTACCTTAACTTGTTGAATACTTAATAGCCTATTTGAGTTTGAAGGATAATCTGTTATATATTCCAATATAATGTTAATTGGAGCCCTTTAACAAATATCATAAAAGGAGTCATTCCAGAAACCAACAAACTCCCTTCCAAGTTGAATTAATTTGTGCAATTTTTCATTTCTAGGTAATTTGGGGTTTTAAGGCTCTACAGATTATTATTATTGTATTTCAAATTGAATATCCTCACGATGATCATTTTCATAGGTTTTGGGTATTTGCAAGGAGGAGGGACGTCTTTTTTTCCTTTACATCTATGTTTTCCTTTCATCCCCATTTGCATCCTCCTCATCAACTTGATTACTTTGAATATCCAAAAATTATATCTAAGGATGACTAAATTGTATAGGTTTGTTATTCAAAATTTTAGGTTCTTTAATTTCATTAGCTGCACTCACGCAACAACCCATTTTTATTTAAAATTAAATTTGATATTATTTTCAATGACTATGACGAGCAATTCTGATTAATACTATTTTAATAAAATAATAAATTAAAATCAATCATTAAACATACAGCAATCGAGTCTTCATCGTTAAAATGCATTTAAAATTAAAGTCAAAATAGTCGTTCAACAAATTGAAGTGATGGTACTTCGATAGGTGATAATAAACGAATTGGTTACTAGTATTAAAAATAATTATATCTGATTTCCCAGAATGAAACTATTCAACAATAATCCCAACAATAGAAACGTTTTGTAGATTAAAGCCGTCTCATCATAGTAAGATTGCTTTCGGCTATTAGAGTTGGATAAAACATCCCAATACTACCAAACATTTTCTAAAGAAAACTCTATACAACCAATAAACCTGGGGTAATAAGAGAATGAAAATGCTTCTTCCGGTTTTGAAAACAAAATAGATAATGAACTTCTCAAGCCTCAAACCAAATTACTCTAAGTACTTTAACAAGTAAGTTACAAGTTTAAAGCTTAATTATTATTTATTGCTTATTATATTGAAAATGAAGGGTGAATTAATACTTATTATTTACCTTTTCTTAACTTAGATAACCAAACAGGAATGCTTGAAGTAAATTCAGTTCTAAGAATAATTATTGAAGAAAAATCACAAAAGCGTGCTATAATAGGAGCATTGATCTCCCAAGCAAGATATCATATTTTTATGGATAGAAATTATGGCTCTTGTTTAAAGGATGATGCTTATACTATTATGACTGATGGGGTACCCTATACCGTATGTTTGATAAACCAAAGCAATTTCCATTTCAATAATGTAAAAATATTTGTTGAATGCATTCAAAATTTGGCTTTGGGATTTAGGCTATCGATTAGGTGAAGGTATCAGATTTTATACAATAATTGTTTCTGCTGTGTTGAATGGAGTTCAAACTAAAATTTATGATAGTAATTTAGCAACATCAATAGTGAAGATTACATTTCCAGATTAATTTGTTGAAAGATTTGATGTATTAACTGTGGGAGGTAATACATACAATTAAGATTTGCACATTCTAAAAGTTGATGCATATTATAAATTTTCATGAATTTTTAATTATGACTTGTTAATGCCATGGTTGCTCTCTAAAACACTTTCCTTTAATTAAATAAGATTAAGGTCGCACCTAAATTGAATTAGATGGGAAACTATAAATAAATATGAAAAACAATAGCTTTTAAAGTAGAATCATTAAGTTAAATATTACCAATAAATGAATGCCATCTATTGGAAGATATCAAATATCTATAAATTATAACTGCGATTACTAAGATTACAAAACATTATAAAAATTCGATTGAATTATTCTGCAGAGAGGAATCTCTTTAATGAAACAAAGGTAAATGAATCATGATTTTTATTAGCAAAAGAATATTATCGATATTAAATGAGAACAAATATTACCTCGCATCCAAATTTGAATTTGGCACTTAATGAAGGGATTTTCTATAATGAAACTAAAAGAATCTTCATAATTTAAAAATTAATAATTAAGATTTTTATCTTCAATGTTTAAGTTGCATTTTCAAAATTCGTATCCAATTCATTCCAAATTCATTGTCATTCTAATCTTGCATAAAGAAATATCATTAATCCACAAGATTTTATTTGTTGCTCAAAGAAATCTTACACTTTGTTTATTAAAATCCTTTTTTGCCCAAGACACATCACTCAGCCTATTGCCTATTCTATTTTTTATAATGATTCAGGAGATACAAGAAAATTTATTCCAGATATATTATTAGCATCTATGATTAAAATTTGTTTTCAGTGTAAATTGGTATAAACTACATTCAAGATATTTTAATAGATATTTTAGGTTCCAGAGATTTCAATAAACAGAAATGGAATAGATGCACATAGAGTGAGTTCCTTCCATTCTTCGCTCTTCATAACAAATTCTCTCATGACTGCATTTTCTTATGCATTGCAAAAAAAAAATGAAAAAAACAATTATTTATTATATTGGTCTATGATTGGCAGAAAAAACTTTTAAATATGAATTACAAAAAGGCAGTTTGGTGATAAAATTATTTGTTCTAGAATAGAATGTTTTTTAATTTCTTAATTATAAGTATTCTTATTATTTTATATTTTAATCATAAAGCCAGCAATATAAAATCTTGCATTTAAAACAACACCTATAATTTGATTTATGTAACATCCTATCCAATTGTTTTATATTTATGGTTATGGATATAAACATCATCAATAAATTTGCTGAATTATATTTAAAATAACTCAACCTTTATTTTCCATTTTAAAATAAACCTAGAATCCTTTAAAACTAGCTGTTGTATCCAATTTGATTACATATGCTATATTAGGCCTAGTGTATTTAAGATGACTCAAAACACTTCCTAAATTGGAACTTCAATTTCAATCAGCAGAAGAAGTACAGTTTAAGCCTAGGACCTGAATAATGATTGATTATAATTCTGCTAAAGTTTGAAACTTATTGGGATTTTCTTATTAATAGTAATATTCTTCTATTAAATGGGTTTTAAATTAATTCTAAAATGAAAAAACAATTTCCTCTTAAATTAGAGATCATTATATCATTAAACAAATCTTTAGTTATACAAGCGTTGCAATCTAGATTCAAATATATTATCGAAAATATAAGGGTGCCGCTCTGATTTCACAATGATAAAATAGTAGGAAGATGATTTAAATGAACAGGAATATAATTTAAAAACTAGAAAGATGGAATATAGCAAAGAAATTGAAATATTGAATATTAGATTAGAGAGCAAATATGATTTTGGAAAAGATGATTTACAAGGACAGAAATTAAGGATGCTGATATAGCTTTTGTAAAAAGGAATAGTTAGCCGATTAATTTATGAGAAAATAAAAATTAATTTATCAATTTTCTGTTACACTTTCTCGAATTTTAACTGAAAAATATTTAGTTGTTAGATGCATATATAGATCATATAAAGCATTTATCTGCTTTTGAAAGCTTCCTTTATTGTTATTTTAAATGATTATACTATTTTCTTATTAATTCTTACAATAAATTTTGTAAAACTTTAATATTTTATTATTGTTTTATTTCTCAATTGTTCTTTATTATGTTTTTAAGTTATTGTGAATTATGGTTTTTAAAACTCTATAATTGGTGAAATTTTTGGAACAGAATAATTTTCAAATAAGTACTTTACTCTCAATCTAGGTTAGTTATAATTATTTATAAAATAATAATTTGGGATAGTCTGATGACTTCCCGGGTCATGATTGTTCGAACGAGATTGCACCAAGCCTGGTGTATCTGCATAGGATATCACTATCCCATTTATTGTTAGAGAAATAATAATCCCTGTCAGAAAGGATGCTGCTTGCAAATTTTGCTTCGCATTTACAATGTCGAATAAAATTTGGTGCAATGTGAGACTTATTTTAGACAAAAATTAATTGGATATTAAAAGTCAGAAGTAGAAAGACATGAGGATCAAGGATATAGGACACATTTTGAAACAAGGAAATGAAAGTGTACTATATTATGGATTAATATTTATGATTATTTAATTCTCTAAAATAATTTATCATATTTAGTATTAGTTACAAAATGATGCCTAGAAAATATAGATAGAGGAAAACTGGAGACTCTAAACCAAGAGCTCTTGTGTAACTTTGGAATGACTAGGGAGTTTACAAGCGATCTTTGAAATAGACAAATTGAAGGATAACTGCTAATTTCAAAAATTAACAATCTTCAACTTTTTTAGCTTTATAATATTAGTCCTCTAAACGATTTTAAGTAATAAGGAGACTTCAGAGAATATATCAGATATAGAAATAATATCACTTTCATAAAAACAACCTATTTCTGATTTATTCTGTAATTAATTATAGATTGAGGAAGTTGAAACTCTTTTAATGATAATTCCTTAGACATCAAGCCAAATCTTATTATTTGAAATTACATTTTATAATTGTTTGATTTTTCTGTACCATGAAGAAAAATAACATATATCCTTTCTTTGTCATTTGAGTATAATAGTTTGAATACTTTTATTTATCATAAAAGGTAATTCTCTTTGTTTAAAAAATTTCTGGTTCATCTTCTCTAATGTTTTGATCCATTTTTAGTTAATTCTATATAGAAATAATTCTTCTTTTTTTTATGATTTTTAACATTTATATTAGATTAATCTTAAACTTCTATAGTAACAATATTAGGTTTCTTTCTGACAATTCTGATTTAAGCAATGTCATTAATTGATGGCTCATTATATGTGATTGGACTTTTCAACTTGAATTTTTCTTATTCTCCAATATTATTAAATACGACAGAAAGAACTCTTATCAACCAAAAAGAGAAACCTACCCTCAAATTAAAAATCTTTCTATAAGTTAAATTTAGAATAATCAAGAAAGTGATTTCAAAATAATTCTCCATCATAAATTTTAATAGAGAATTTATATATTTAGAAAAACGAGTATTAGTTATTATATTTATTAAACATAATAAAATACTTCAATTCATGTATAATTAATGATTTAGGCATTTAATATTAGAATAAACGAAGAAAATTGTGATTTTTAGTTATTATATTTGTTAATTAGCGATTTACTTAAGATTTTGGTTTCATTCATTTAAAATTATTATTATCATAAGATATAATCCCTAAGTGGATTAGAAACCATATCTTTCTAAAGAATCAATTATTTGAACGTTGATGAATTTATTTTAATACCTGAAAGTTTTAATGAGATTTTTATATCATTATTTGCAAAGTTTATATAAATTAAATATTTTAGATGTAAAGCTAATCTACTAGTGTTGTTTAGAAACTCAAAAATGAAGTTCTATACCATCTAGACATTTTCGGATAATAACCTAATTTTACAATACTCAATCGAAGCAAATATCCTTCATTACTTGGTCTTCTAACTTCTTTAATGATATGTGCATTAGGATTTTATTTTTTTCTCACAGAAGTAGTTACTATGATTTCGTAATCCAAGCCAGCGATTTATCAAACAGAATTATCTATTTCTAATACCGAAGTAAAAGAGAATGTTTAATTAGCCATTTTTGCTATATAATGATAACTTCACATTGGCAATCTCAATAGTAAATCGATTTTCAGAGCCCATAATAGGAATTGATCGATATTTCAACCTTAATATCAGTTAATGCGAGAGATTAAGAAATATAAATAAAGATTCTGGAAAAATATCTATTGATTTAAAGTAACAATAACTGAAAATATAAGATGCACATAATTACCAATCGAACCATGTAATATGTCACATTTTACAACAGATATATAACAGGAGTACTTTTCAATTATTAGAATGGGAGGAATCTAATGTATTAATAGAAAATACCAAGAAGAGAACCCTTTAGTAAACAACATCTTTAACTTCTTAGAAATTATAAGGCTTAATTACATCCAATGCATTCAGATATATATTCATTTAGTTTTCTGCTTGTCATAATACAAGTTTGTCTCAGACTTGTGCATCGTAATAGGAAATAGAAAGTATCTTAGAATCAGGTCACTACAATATATACAAAAGCGATTACCTGACCAAACTAGATCGACCAGGATAGCCTTTTCAAGAATTCATAACAAATGAATTTACAAGTTTTTCTTTAACCACTTCTAAGACTATTTCTTAAAGATATAAAATCTTAGAAACTTTTACAGATGAAGGATTAATTTGGGAATAAATTTCGGTGTAATCAAACATATAATAAAGTGAATGGAGAGAGATATCTGAATTTTATAATAATCAATATTTGATTGTTCATTATATTATGCTAGATTATAAATAAACAAATAACATTAGAACTTATGTTAAATTACAAACAATTTTAGGAAAACTAGGAGGAATATTTTAGATTGCAGTTATGATTGTCGCGATTATTTTACGGCCTATTATTGAAAATTTTATGAAATTAGAAATGGTGAATAATCTTTTTAATTTCTCAGAACAATGTAGAGATACCAAAGTTCAAATAAACATGACTAATAATCAGTAATCAAATCAATAACTCACAAAAAGAAATTTGAATAGACTAAGCCAATCTAATTTGGAAACTTGGTTAATAATCTTTGGGTGTAAGTAATTTAAAAAATAATAATTTGTTTTTGCTAAAAACAAAGTTAATAAGAATTTAGAAATAGTTAATATATTAAGAAAATTATAAGAAATAAAAGTCATCAAGAAAACTTTGTTAAGCAAAGAATAATAAATTTTATTGAAAAATTTTCGATACTAAATAGGCTAAAAGGCTTTCTTGTTTTAAAAAAAAAATTAAACTGAAAATGTATAGAATATCATTCTTTAAAACGATTAAGATAATCTCAATTTCAATCCAGATTTAGTGCCTTCAATGATTTCATAAAAAGGTAACTTTCAAAAAGATTTTTTTAACTCTTGTGATTAAATTTAAGTGATTAATTCCTTAAATGAATGTGATATATAAGAGCCATCACCACAAAAACTTAAAATCTGATAATTAATTATTGCACATCAAAATTCAATATCAATATATCTTTAGCAACTGTTTTGGAAAATACTAAGATTTCTCCATTCGCATCGATAATATTATCTTAATTGATAAATTGTTAAATATTAAATAACTTAATAATTTATGCTTCCCCTAAAGGCTTATCACCATTTAATTTATTTTTAAATTACATATATTCATCATGCTTCCTTAAATACTAATCTGCTTTTGAAGTACTCTTTTTCTTTTTGATAGATGTCATCCCAACCTACAAGTTTCAACCTCATTTTATAAAATCCCAATACTAATTGTAACCTCCCTATCTACACTTTCTAAACAAGAAGTTGATGTCAAAGTTATTCAAAATTCCAAGATTAAAATTTTTATGTAAAAGCATCGACTAAAAGGTTTTACCGAATTTTATTAGAAATATTGGTTTCCAAACTTTAGCTTTAAATCTCTATAACACTTTCAGTTTTATGTCAAATAAACATCAACCTTTCTTAACAATGCAATTATCAAATTTATTAATAAAATAAATTCTCAATACCCTTATGACTTCATGTACTTTTATTTTCTCATTCCAATTAGAGTACCCATTTTAGGCCATAATAACTTGATTTAGACTAAACTTAAATATTAAATTACGAATTGAAGAACTCCTTAACAAAGGTTTAGTATATTCGATGGTTATAAAGAGAAGAATTTGAAAAGAGTTTTGATCAAGAGGCCCAATTTTCGTACCGACTAAGAATTCCTTTTGATATCAAAGTTAGATCCTTGCTTGAAGATTCTTCAGGTTAAGCCCTCAATTAACTACGTATCCGATTCTCTGTCTATTCAGTAATTTATGCTGAGAAATATTTAGTTAAATCTTAAATTTATTTATTTCCTAATTAACGGCATGCAGATCCTTAAGCCTTTTAATGATCTGTCAACAAAAGATCCCAAGATGAGCAAAATATCATAAAGGTCTTATGATATCTTGATTCTAGCCTATGAGAGTCACAATATTTCTATCTCTTCACTTTTAGCACATTATCTAGTATCTACATCCTTTTTCTATATCCCTTTAAGAGTTCACAATCTTTACAGAAATTTTTTTTTATATTCTTTATCATTGCCTACTTTCGTTCTGGTGAATTTAGAAAATATGAATTATACACCAACAAAGAATATATTTGCTTATGGAAACAAAATTCATTTTATTTTCCATCAAAATGAAAAAGATTTAGCTTTTATCAAATTAATAATCAAAAATATTCACAAATAAGATTTAATCTTTCATATTATTATTATTTTTTTTAATTTTATATTAATTTCATAGTTCATATTAATTAAAAAACGCTTAGTAGTATCAACTAACAGCATAATTTATTTAAAAAATATTAGTAATTGTGGATTTTAATATAAATATGACAAAAATATATCATCCAAATAATAGTGTGAAAATTAATAACTATAGTAAGTAAAATTAAATGAAAATTACTAAACTTGAATTAATATACTTAAATTTAGCTCTTCTTTTTGATTAGCTTATTAACTATTACTGCTAAAAGAATCAATCTAACTTATTATTATATTTATTTGAAATGAACCTTAATGATTTAGTGTAGTTGAAAGCTACTGAATAAGTAATTTTTTATCAAGAATTGATTACTTTGCATCAAGTTTCAGAAAAAATATTTGATTTTCTGTTTGTAAAAAATGAGCCATTATGATCAAGGTATTTAGACTCATTCGTAGATACTAAATGTTTTGCCAAAAAACTAATAGTTGTTACTGGAGTGCTATCAAGAAAAAACTCAAATTCATAAAATCATCATTTATTTTATTAAATCAAGAAGGTTAATCTTATTTGTTAATCAGCAACAAAATGGTACTATTTTCTTTTACTATCGATATTTTTGTGTATCTCTTACAATAATTTTTAGATGGCCAATTATTTTGTATAAATTTTATTAATTATTTAAAAAAATATTTTGGATACATCTTAAAAATGAGCAACATTTTGTAAAAGGAATAAGATAATATTGATGCACTTAAGCATTATTCAAAGAGCTAGGTAACATTATTTAATCAAATAATTGTAGGAGTTTAAAAATTCGCATAGAATTCAAGAAGCATTAACAGAAATTAATACTGCCTTAAATCTCAATCCTGAATTTTCATAAGCCTACACATTAAGAAGTTCATTATTGTAATTTAAAATTTAGGTGAATTATATGAAAAATTGAAATTATATGATAAGGCTTTGGAAGATATAAATCATAGCCTATCTATAAATAATAATAATCCTGAAAGTTTATATTAGAGAGGTATGCATAGAATATTAAATTAAGGAACAATTTATTGGTAAAAACAGTTATTTGATCAAGCTTTATAAGATTGTATGAAATGTGTTGAAATAAATCCAAATTTTGGGATGGGCTTTAGTAGAATGGGTAATAAAAAATATCATTTTAGGGACTATTATGCAAGATTTGAAATAAAAAGACAAAGAAATTTTGTATTACAATTTAGCTTTAGAAAAAGATTGTAATTGTTATTAAGCGCTCACATATAGAGGTAATACTGATGTTTAAAAAAGGTGTATATTATTAGGACGAACAAAAATATGATTAAGCTTTTAACGACTTCAATTAAGCTATTTAAATTAATCCAAAATATCCTAATGCCTACATGAATAGAGGTGAATACTATTAAACATTATATTTTAGGCAATTTATATAGAAAAACTGGTGATAGAGACAAAGCATTAAAGGACTTTAATAAAGCAATCCAACTTGAACCAACATCTGCAATAACCTACTATAATCGAGGTGAGCATATTTATGCATCTTTTTAAGGTGTTTTATATGATGATATTTGTGATAGAGATAAAGCATTAATTGATTATAATTAAGCTATTTAACTTGATTCAAAATATGCTAAAGCCTTCATTTATAGAGGTGAATACTATTACCTTTTAATATATTAGGCAATTTATATAAAAATATTGGTGAAAAAGAGAAAGCATTAATTGATTATACTTAAGCAATCCAACTTGATCCAAAAGATGCAGATGTCTACAATTATAGAGGTTAACACTATAAAATTTAATATGTTAGGCACCATATATGCTGATATAGGTGATAGAGAAAACGCATTAATTGATTATAATAAAGCAATCCAACTTGAACCCAAATATGCTAATGCATTCATTAATAGAGGTGAATACTACTATAATTAATATTAGGCAATTTATATGATTTTGGCAATAGAGACAAAGCATTAAAAGACTATAATAATGCAATCCAACTTGATCCAACATCAGCAGTAGCCTACTATAATAGAGGTGAGTAAATTTATGGATAATTTTTTAAGGTGGTTTATATGATGCTATTGGCGATAAAGAAAAAGCATTAATTGATTATAATTAAGCAATCTAACTTGATCCAAATAATGCAATGACTTACTATGATAGAGGTGAGTACATATATACTTAATATGCTAGGTGCTTTATATGATGGTTTTGGGAATAGAGATAATGCATTAATTGATTATAATCGCTCAATTCAGCTTGACCCAAAAAATGCTAAAGTCTTCTTTAATAGAGGTGAATAATTTTACATTTAATATATTAGGCAATTTATATCAAAATATTGGTGAAAAAGAAAAGTCATTGATTGATTATACTTAAGCAATCCAACTTGATCCAAAAGATGCAACTTTCTACTATAATAGAGGTTAATACTATAAAATTTAATATTTTAGGCACCATATATGCTGATATGGGTAATAGAGAAAATGCATTAATTGATTATAATCAAGCAATCCAGCTTGACCCCAAATATTCTAATGCCTACTTTAATAGAGGTGAATGCTGTTATCCTTAATATATTAGGGGTTTTATATGATGAAATTTGTGATAGAGAAAAAGCATTAAATGATTATAATAACGCAATCCAACTTTTTCCAAAAGATCCAATACCATACTATTACAGAGGTGAATACTTTGCATTTAATATATTAGCCAATTTATATAAAAATATTGGTGATAAAGACAAAGCCTTAATTGATTATAACCAAGCTATCAAATTTGATCTAAGAGATGCAGTAACCTATTTTAATAGAGGTAAAAGCTCGTAACCTTAAGATATTAGGTGCTTTATATGATGAGATTGGTGATAGACGCAAAGCATTAATTGATTATAATCAAGCAATCGAACTTGATCCAAATTATGTTGAAGCCTACATTAATAGAGGTGATTTTTATTATACTTAATATTTTAGGCAATTTATATCAAAATAATGGGGATAGAGATAAATCGTTAATTGATTATAATCGAGCGATCCAACTTAATCCAAACAATGTTAATGCCTATAAAAATAGAGGTGAATATTATCCTCTTATTATATTAGGGAATTTGTATCAATAATTAGGGGAGAATGAAAAAGCATTAATTGATTATTAACAAGGATTATCAATATCACCTAATCACCCAATAATATTATGCAATTTAGGTGATTATTATTTCTTACTTCCTGACCATAATTAATTAGCTTTGGAATGTTTTCAAAATGCTATCAACTACTTATTGAGTTTAAGTTAATTTGAAATTACATAATATCATTTAAACTAAGAAAATATCCATTTTTTACAAACTAAGTTTGGTTTGCTTTAGGAATTGGATTAATAAATATAGAAATTTAAAATAATTATTTAAAAGTTATCAATCGAAAACCACTAGCAATTATAGTAAATGCTCAAATATAACACAAATTGTTAATAAATTTTAAGTAAAATCAATCCAATTCTATCATCCTAAATGGCTGAATAAATAAAACCTGAAAATCAATAGGCTTAAAATGACTAACTGACTAAAATATTATAAGATATTTAGCAATTAAATTAAAAGTTATTACAAAAAAACAAAGAAAACGATGAAAAATAATTGAATATGAAAACAAATTAATTAGAAGAAAAAGTAGACAGTTTGGTTCAGTAGGATAGATCTTAAATTGAATTATTATTAAATGATCTGGATAAACCTGAAAATTAGTATTAAAAAATTTACTACTTATCGTTGTTCTGGAGGCTTTACAATTATTTACAAGCAGTGTAACAAGTCTCTACCGATTTATTTTAAATAAACCCAAATGCAATTATTGAAACTAACTCAGAATAGGTATTAAGTATAGTTCAAAAAAATTCTTACTTTGGATAAGTTACACTTTCAACTTAACCTTTGATTAGAGATGCTTTTTAAATTATAAATGCTGCCCTTGATTTTGCAATCGATGAAAAGAATGAGAGTAAATTTAAATAAAGAGTAAGAACTCTCAATGAAATACTAGTATTTTTTGATGTAAATCCATAAAAACTAGAAATAGAAGTGCAAATGGCAGCCATAGCTTTGGGAAAATAACAATAGCCTAATGTGAAACAAAGAAAAATAACAAATTTTAGTAAAAAAGTTGATGATTTATTGGCAAAAGAAAAAAGTTCTTCTGAATTATTAAAAGATGTGCACTGGATTTGTGGGACTGAAGATGCATTCATCATTTTGAGCTATTTAGAAAGAAATGAAGAAAAAATATTATAAGATTAGTAGAAAAAGCTAAGGGAGATATTTGAAGAGGGAGTTAAATCATATTCGTATACTCCTTAGGTTTAATAAGTGAATTAAGGCTGTTCCTCAATTTGTTAAATCATATGATATGATAAGATTCAATAAATATAGCACAAAAAATTAATATTTTCAGAATTCAGAAATTTATATTATTAATAAATAGATCATTTGTTAAAAATATTCTAGTTCAATACTTTGATAATTTTTTATAAATGTTCTAAAAATGCTAGACTCAGTTGCATTATCCAAATTAATAGGTTTATAAAAATAAATTAATTATTATCAAAAAGCATACAAATATATAAGTTTACTATTTTGATTTATTTGATATTCCAATAATTTCCTTCCTTTCCACTAATATTGCAAATTAAACTAAAAGCATTTTTAATATTATAATGGTTTTGTTGATGAAAATTTTAAGTATTTATGAATAGTGGTATTATGTTGCTTATACAAAATGTGACTATCGAGATTTTGTAGGATGAAGTAAATATAAATGAACTGATTAAAGAAAATTGATATTAAAACATCTCTTTGATTTACAACCAAACATATCAAATTTTACAAAGGACAAAGTAGTGTGAAATCATTCAATCATTGTGAATGTCAATACACTATTCTTGATGTATTTTGGTAAATTATAATTATTTAGCTTTTGTTAATTTTTAATTATTAATTGTTGACTGGTGATCAGTTTATAAATGTCAACTAAAATTGAATCCCAGAAATCACACAAGTGATAAACTTTGAATTTATGTTTAATTCTAATGAATAACTATCTCCGTTTATTTCTATAAACATTAATACATAATTTTGATAAAATCATCATTAGAATGTAAGAATTGATTAAGATATCGGTATTTTATGCCGTTATTCAAGTTGACTACATCTATTATTATGATACTTTTGGTTCTTAAAAGCCTAATAAATATTTTATAGTCTAGAGCAATCTTCATTAATTAGTACACATAGGGACCAGTCCATATTCGGTTAATTAGAAATCAACATCACCCTAATAGATCAACTATGAAGATTCCTTGACTGCTGAATGCTTGATTTAAACATTCGTGAAGAAGGGTAATAAGGAGGACCCTTTATCAAAACTTTATTTTTTGGACAGTCTCGTCCCAAACAAGGGGAGGCTCCTATTTAGGAGATTACTAACTTATTGGATGGAGAAGAGGGAGAGATCATATGGGATGATGAGTCTTCTAAGGATGAGATGAAGGAAATGGAAATTAACACTGACAGTGGGCCAAATAATTCTAAAATGGGGCCTTGCTCATAATCACTCCCAAAATCTGGATTAACAAGTATTATTTTATCAAAAGTATGCTGAAAAAAGTGACATAAAAAATTAGTCACTTTCCAAAAATGAAAATTGATGTTCTGTAATTTGAATTTGGTAACTAAAGCGAGATCAATTAGATTTTGGAAATGATTAAAAGAACTAGCCATTTCAAAATAACCTAGTTTACTAATCCTAAACTTTAGAGTACATCAATTATTAAGAATGCATCAAATATCGAACATATATACAATTAAGTTAAAATGTAATTGAAGTTGTGTTCTTAGGATTTGTGCAGTTAATAGTTTCATATTTATTTTCCAAAGGCTCTAAAGCTATAAATTATATTATCTTTAATAATGTACATAAATGAATGAATTATATGAATATTTATTCTATTTTCTGTACAATTTCACTTCTTTGTTCATTCAATTAAGTTATTCTACTTTGCTGAATTAAAAGTTTATCTTCAGCATTGATTTATCTCTTTGCCTAAGATGAATAGGGTTCGCATGCTAACTTTTGAATTCATTTTTATAAATATTCAATATTACAAATGTATATTTTGGTAAGATTGTTTTTTGAGATATTAAATTGAATTCTTTTTCTTTCTTCAAATTTAGAAGCTCTTATTTGAATTTATAGCACAATAATAAACAATGCACTTTTCTGTTTAGTTAGTAGAAAGGAACCTTATACACTCCAACTGAGGTAAGGAAAGTGCAGGCCCATTTTCACATTTCTTCTCTTTTGAATTACTATTCTGTGAATGTCATGTAGAAGGAGAAATCAATATCATACCTACTATGAACGAATCATCAAAATACTAAATGCGTTATATTTATATTTAGAACCAGGGACAAGTCTAGCCAGAAAGCAATTATTGTCTATGGGATTGATTTAGAAAGTAAAAACAAGAACTTCTAATTCTCGTTTAACAACAATAAGGCTAATGAATAACCAATGTATATGAAATAGTTCAAAATCGATAAACGGTTAAAGCTGACACAGTACTCTATGGCGCAGAGACTGATTCCATTAAACAAAAATGCACCTAATATAGCCTCAATAGGAGATATGTTTATAGAACTGTATATTACAGCCAAAGTTCAAGGAGATTTTAATAGAGAATATATCTAAATCACTCTTTGAATAAAGATGAAGGGTAGCAAAAAGAATGAAACCGTAGTTTAAGAGAATATAATAATGGAAAAATAGAGGAGCCTTAGTAACTTACTAGTCAAAATGAAGGTAATGATAGTCCATCCTTTTTATTAAATTTCCCTCCTTTTAGAGGGTGAGGTTCAATAGGAGCCATAGATTGGACAATTGAATAGATTAAATTAGGCCCAATTTATCTTGCTGCTGAAGCTGGTAATTATGGCGAGTGTAAACTAGAGAGATAATACTTAGGAAAAAAATAAATGAGTTAGAGTTCAACTGAAGATGATGACGATAAAGTCGATTGACGGATTGAGAAGAGAGTTGTTAAAATGTACGTTAATTCATAAGAAGAAGTGTGATAGGATAGAATTTGGAAACAGAAGAATATTTTGAATTTCAATTTAATATTTGGATAAATTCCAATATTAATCCTATTAACCATAATTAAAATTGTTATATTTACAAGTGTAATAATTCTATAAAGGAAATATTTGCTTTTAAATTTATTCATCTCATTCACAAACATAGAATTTACATATAGGAAATATTAAACTTAATGTAATTGCTATATATTTTATGATATATAAAAAGGATATATAGTTATATATACAATTCATTTGAACAACAAATGAATTATATAAAACAATAATGAAGATATAAAATTATTATATTAATTAATGAAAATCATTTATTTGAAATAAAGTATTTCCATACGATAATTTTTATATAATAAGATATTTTATTTATACAATTACACTGCTTGATTATCAAAATATAAAATTTTCATTTCATTTCAACTTAAAGCATTTAAACATGAATCTGTAAACCACCTGAAGGAGGTTAATTTTTTCACTTAAATTCTTCATTTATCTTGATTCATTAAAGCTTAAAAATAAAATTGGTGGTTATTTTCTCCTTTTTTTGACTTGAGAATTGTTATTGATAAATTAATTTAGAGAATTTATGAAAATGTTAACATTTCAATAAAGAAATTAATCCATCTAATATTAATAATGAGTTTTATGTTTCGATAGGAAGAAAAATGGTACTTTTTTGAAACTTTTCATATCAAAGACTTTTATATTAGAAGTGTAAAAATGTTATTTTTTCATAATTCATAATATTATTTCTTCTGAATTCATAGTAATTTTTCCCCAATTCCCATTGCTTTATTATTTCATCGCCTATTTACTTCAATATTACTTATGTATTATTTTCAATTTTTAATCTTTTTTTCATTCATTCACAATATTCCTTGTTGAGTTTGTAATAATATCGTATACTTAAATATTTCTCCGAAACTTCATATTAAGATCAACTCCAAGGATACTAAATAGTTCTTGAATTTTTCCAAAAGATTTCGATATTCACTTTATTCTCAGTTTAGCGGATATCCCCAATCAAAATTTTAATTTCCAACGACTATTATTAATGAATTCTGAGCTTCCAATTCCTCTCTTTCTCTTACATCTCATCTATCTTAGTATTCCAATCATCAATCATTCCTTTTTTCTTTACTTAACGAACCATCAATGTCCAGCTCCGTAACTTTCATCTCTTATATATCTTAGTTCCCTTCGTAGAATATTACCTTTCATATTTTAATAAGTCCTTAATTGTGTAAACTCCAATTCCTAGTTAACAATTTGATATATCCCTGAGATTCTAGCCTCACCATAGCCTTCGGGTTATTCTTCTATATTTTTAATTTATCTCTCTTCAATCTACCCTATTTTCAATATCTCTGGGCACCGAAATCTCCATTCTTAACATATCCCTCCAATTCCACCCTTATCAGGTTTCCTCTGGAGTCCTAGGATCTTGATAATAATCACCCTCAGAATCATAGGAATTTTATTTTTATTAATTCTCCCAGATTTTCTAAAATGATAAATTAGGGAGTAAAATAATGTAAGTTAAATATTGAAAATATATTATTTTAGAAATTACATTGTATAAACACTTTTTTAAAATCTTCGACAATTTGTGAATTGAAAATAAATAGATTGTTTGTACTTTATTTTAGGGTTTTCAACTATTTTTCTCTGGATATAAATTTATTATCACTTTTTATTTGTTTCTTAATAGTTTTCTTTAAAAATGACTCATATTTGGTATAAATTATGATGATAGCTCGATCAGATTACTATCAAATTTTATCTTGCATTATTTTAAAGTACTTAAATTGAATCTGGACTAAAAACACTTACTATTCTTATTAGTATTTCAAATTGTCGTGTTATTTCATTAAATAAATTATTATCTTCGATTAAGTTCGATGAATTATTTTGATTTGAATAATAGAGTTCTAACCCCTAAAAAACTGTGTTCGAATTTCATAACTAAATTTGATCTCCTTCCTAAATTATATTTCATTACAATTTAAATTATTAATTTACTATATCTATACTACTAAAAGATTTTGATGAAATTCTTAAACTTCAAATATCAAATTGTTGCTTAAATAATAATTAATGCTTCATTTATGCATATTCATTTGACAATGATAATAATGGGAAAAGAACAGTTTTTAACTTAAAAAATACTGAAGTTTGGAAAATATTTAATTACAGAGAGATTAAAAAATGATAAAATTCTTTTATGCAATTCGCAATTGTAGAGAACAATTTCACCTGGTTTCAATCTCATAAATATATAGTTGAATAAATGTTACTATAAGTTATTGTTTCTGTTAAAATATTATGATTAACAAAAAAGAGTTTTGTTGATAAGAATTAATGTTATGAGTTTAAAAATATATATGCTCCTGATTATTACATTAAATTAAAATAATAGCTGTCTATTCAGCGAGACTTTTGAATAAAAATTAAACAAAATACTTTTCATATTTTAAATTAGGATGTTTTGGAAACATATTTTAATAAAATATGATTATTAATACTTACTTTGAGAATGTCAAATATATTCATAATGATATTTCCTACTTGAAAAACTTTTTCTTAGTTGATTTCATTGCCTATTACTACCTCCTTTTATTGCTCATTTCATCGCCTATTTATCCCCTATATCATCTCCTATTTAATTGTTTTGTTCATCGTATATATTTAATCGCCAAGTCTAAATTAAAAGTTATTCTTTCTTTTATCTTTTCTTGCCTTAATGTTCGTTAAAAATCTGGAATCCAATATTTATTTACTTTAATAATCTTCTTAAAATCGTAAAGCCTTTGAATCTCTGAATGTATCAAAACCATCTTCTCAACTTATATTTGCCCTCAGTATAGATTCTCCTTTAAATTTCATACTAAGACTAAGCAAAAACTATGGTATTGATTTGCTAGCATAAAAAGAGTAAAATTGTATATACCGAACTAGATTAAAAGAATTTTAGGACAAAATATCAAAAAAAAAGAAACATATAATGCTAAAAAGAGTTTTTTAGCCTTTTCATAAAACATTCAATTATAAAAGGATTTAAATGAAGACCATTAAATAGAATTGCAATTCCAAAAGATATAGAATGCCTTTGTTGCTACAGACTCATTTAATTAATTCACTGCTTTGTTAAGTTAGTTTTGCCATTTTCTAACTTTTAAACATTCTTTATCATTTAGTTTTTAATTTAAAATATTCTTTTTTGTCTTTTTGAGTATTAAAATTCAAATGGAGTTCCTCCTCTGCTATGTTTATTATTTATTCAAGAATAAAAATGATCTACTTTTATTTAATAATAAAGTTGTTTTAGCAAGACATAAATTTGTTCTCTTTATGTATTTCTAAAATAAGTGAATTAATCTTTTGGGTTGAGTTACAATTTAACATTCATTTAAGGATTTTTTCTCTAATTATAAAATATTCTTAATTGGAGAGGTTTATAACTTGAATTCGTGTAAAATTGAATTCGTCTTGAAAATAATATATCTTTATGCATATAGAGACTTTTTTCAAATTTATATAAATTGGCTTATTTGTCTATGCTCTTTATAATGAATTTAATAATAAACTCAAATTATAATTGATAAGAGATAATTTAAATTACAAACTTGATTAAAATGAAATTCAAATTATAATAAAAATGAAAATCTTTTAATATAATTTGCTTGCAACATTTGCAGTTTAAATATCAATGTGCTGTGTGTTGATAAAATTACCGTATATCTACCCACTTTAAACAGCTTTAATGGATAACACTGATTAATATGATGCTTGTTGTGCTGGGGTTGGAGTGTGGAGTAGATATGTACCTCTTAGTAATCTAATATAAATTGGAACAATTGGTATGCTTGATAGTAGTTGTTTTCATATTTTTAGAATATAGGATAAGACAAACAATGAATTACATTTTATATATTATGAATGTATTGATTATGAGAATAAAACAATAAAGAAATATTTTCTATTTTTTGATAAGGAAGTTGGAGATATTAAAGAAGAGAATCTAATTGATCATACTTAATATGAATTTGTTTGGTATTTTGAAGGATTCTATACAAATCCTTCAAAATAGCAAGTCATAATATATTTATTAGATGGAATGAAGTAAATATCTTAAAAAACAATATCATTGCTGTTTCCAATTGATAAATAAAACTTTAATCTAATCGTTGGAGGTGATTTTATTGTACCCCAAAATGTTCCATTTGAACTATTTGAAAGAGATATCCTATCTTATTTTCCAGGAGAAATTATATATGTTAAGAATTGTTTTCCACAAACCACTGATTATTTTACTTACATCATCTAAGAAGTCTACAATACAGATTGTGTGTGTGAATAAAGTTTAACAACTATCATAGAGGATGTATAAATAACAAAATAAAGTTTATATGAGTTTGTTTCCCAATAATCTAATTGTTAAGAATTCTTATTGTCTGGTTGGATAAAAATTTAAGAAATTTATTCATCCGATGATGATTTTGATTTTTAATTTATGAGACTATCTGGTAATTTTTAGCATCCAAAACTAGTAGAACAAAATTTGTGTGCATTTTAACTGTTTTACAAGATCTAATCTGGTTAGAATCAAATTATTATAACAACCTATAGCTATACTTTCCCATCTGTCGATATCGACTTTTCAAGCAATCCTTTCTTAAAGTCTGAAGTAATTGATGTAACCTCTGATATTAAATTATGGCATTATGTATTAGTAAAGAAATTAGAAAATTCAATTTTGGTTGCTATTACTTTTTACAAAGGTTTTGATAAAGAAGAATTTAATATAAATTTAGATGTGTTACAGTTTAATAGAGTGTAATTTAAGTTATTATACGGCAATTTATTATAATCTTCATCCAACTACCTAACAATTTCAATCGTTGGGTTTCAATTTTTTAATTGTTTAGATTATGATGAACCCACGGTAAGTTGCCACCCAACTTGCCAAGAATGCGATGGTCCAACAAAAGATGATTGTCTATCATGCTTTTAGGAATCAAATAGAAGATATTTACCAGATTTTAAGCAATGTATCTGTGAATATGGAACAATCGATATGGATAATCAATGTGTTAATTATGAATTTTTAAACCTTAGATTAAATCAAGAAAAACTATTGAAAGAAGAATGCAAATATGGTTTTTTCGAATTTGAAGGGGATTGCTAAAAATGGTAATATTTTCACACTTATTTAGCCCCTCAATCATAAATAAAAATGTTATAACCTGTTTGGAATGTGTTTAGAATCCTAAATAATGGGCTCAAACTCTTATTTGTTAAACAACTTTATATACAGATTTAGATGGAAATGTATCATAAAAGTTGTAGGACAAAAAATAATAATATACTTTTGTGGGCAATGATTTACAATACTGTCCAGATTGCAAAATAGCAGTGACTCCATCATATGATTTAATTGAAAACCTAAATTAATTTAAAGATTTTTGTATAACTTCTCAATCAATAAATGAAAATTGCTACTCATGTGGATTAAAATGTTATTCATGTTAAATCTTAGAAACAAATTTAAATTGCTTAACTGATCAAATCATACCTTTTCCAGAATATTAAACTTGTGAACCTCCAAATTACTATAATTTTCAATAAAATTGCGTAGCTTGTAAAATAAAACATTGTTTGTATTGTTTCAATTATTTTGCAAGTGATCCAACAAAAACAACTCTTGGGGTTTTAGATGTTTATTCTTTTATTGATGAAGAAATTAGAGCTGGAAGTTACTCCCTAATTGATGAAGAAATTATAGAAGGTTGTGCTTAGTGTGCTCAAGATTACATCTATGATTTCACAATTGGGGAGTGTATTATTAGAAAGCCGTCCTAATAAAATTGCCTCCGATCCTATTTCAATTTTTAAAAGTAAGAAATTTGCACTCTTTCTATTAATGACGATTTTACTATCGCTCTGGAAATTTCTAATTGTGAATCCCATATTCTTAATTGTAAGCAATGTATCAAAACTCCATAATCTACTTTGAAATGCTTACTTTGTGAGGATTATTAGATGGTGTCTACCTCAACAGGAGTTTGTAGTGCTTGTGAAAAGAGTTTTTCCAAATCATGTTTATTAGAGAACGGTTTAGATCCTTGGAAATGGTTAGTTCAAGGCTTTACTAATTAATTTTTACCTACTAAACCTATCTTTTCTTAGTTTATAGCAATACCTGATACTTTAATTATTGAATGCTTACCTGGTTATAAAAAGATAAAAAATGATTGTTTTCTGCTCTGTGATTAAATGTGTTCTGAATGTAAAGATAGTGATACTGGTTTTTAATGCTCTAAGTGCAAATAAAATTATTATTAAGACCATATAAGAAATTAGTCGGAAGGAAAATGTTTTCAATGTTCCTCATTATGCCAGGTTTGTGAAATTAGACCGAATGAAGAAATAAATGTATTTACCCTTAATTAAATAGAAAATAAATCCATATTTTATCCTAACCCCAGAAAATATCATTTTCACTTATAGATGTCTTTAATAAGTTCCTCTTGATCAAATTCAAATCGATCCGAATTTACAAATTGCCTAATATTGTTACTAAAATAATTGCGACAAAAATTTAGAAATATTTCATGTAAACTATAATTTAATTTAGGATAATACTAATTGTAATACTCTTGAAAGAATTAATGATTTTTTAATAAATATATATAGTTACCAATATTTTAACAATATTGGCCTTAAGGAAATAACTGTTACCTTACAACTAGCAAGATACTGCTAGATGTAAGGTAATCATCAAAGTCTTGAGAATTACTATAAGGAAAATATTTTTTCTCTACAAATAGTAAGATTGAAGATTTAAGGCACTAATCTTCCTGTTGTTGCAAAAATGTCTTTTACTTTGACAATTTTAAAATTTGATTTTATTGTATTAGCTAATCTTAAATTTTCAATTTCCTCTTTGTTAGAACTGATATTTCAAAACAGAGGCAATTCTATAGATTTAAAGATTATTGATACTTAATTTTATTAGGCTAAAGATATTGCAGTATCATTATAAATTCAAGGAGATAGTTTCCTTAATTTATATCTGGAAAATTTGTTAATTTTTGATAGCAGTATTGAAAATTCGGTAGTATTTAACATTTATTGTACAGATTTTGGTGAGACTATTATAATTGATAAATTCAAACTTCAGAATTGTAATTTTACAAATTCCGTTTTATTTTAATTTAAAAACGCTTAAAGAACCATCATAATTAAGAATATTATAATTGATTCATGTGAATTTTATAATTCATCAATAGCTCGATTCGCATTGAACCAAGATCAAATTTCTAATGTAATTTTTAATGATGTCAAAATAACAAACTCACTATTTTAAAACACAAGCTTTATTTATAGTAATGAGAGAACTACTTTTACTATCAATAATCTTTCAATTGTTAAAAATAAGATGATGAATTCAAAATTCATTACATTTAATTATGAATCTAATTTTTAAGACATTTTAATAAAGGATAATGATTTAATATCATTTTAATTTATATCATAAATATCATCAATATATGAAAAATAAGAAATTTAGTTGGATTAGATTTAGATCTAAGGAAATACAATTCATTATTCTTAAATATTTGTTACAGAACAAAAGCAATCAATAACATAAACTAGGTTTTTATTAACTAACTTTTACTTTCAAGAAAACATAATGGCCACTTATCAAGAATATCATTTAATAATAATTAACTGCTTTAATTTAACTCTTTAGAACTTCTTCATCTAAAATACATAAAATTATCATTTTTTATCATTAATATCAGTACCTTTGATAAAAATTGAAAATGTAATTTATGAAAATTCAATTCAGGAAGAAAAAGTTCAACTATCGTCAGAATGTCTATTAAAATAGATATCTCATTCATAATTATTGTAAGTTTCTGGATTCATTGATATTACTCTAAATTTAATTTAAATTAAAAATGTATTTAGTATTGATCAATCAATAATTTCAATTTAATCAAATCCATTGATTATGTTAAATTCAAACGAGTATATAAAAATTAAAAACCTTATAGTGAAAGGAAACATATTAATCAAACAATAATTAGGAAAATTATTTTCTATAATTGAATTATAATCTGAAAAGCCTTAAATCATCGAATTAGACAAATTAAGTTTTGAAGAGAATATTTTTCATTAATATAATAAAGATCCTTCTTAAACTTCAGCAAGTCTATTTTATGTTGATTCAGGATAAGGTATTTTAATGATGAAAAATATCAATTGCTTTAATAATTCTCTAACAAATTCTTCCCTATCATATATTTCAATTTTTTCGAATGAAATATGGATAGAAAACTTTTAAGTCTAAAATCATAATTACCATAATCAAGAGTTTTGGGTTAAATATTACTAAATTCAATTTTAAGACAACTATAATGAAAATGAAATTACTTATATTATTTCTCAATCATATAATATTGAAACTATAGGAGGAGCTTTATCAACAACAGTAACTAAATTTACATTTAATAATGGTTTCTTTAGTTTTATTAAAACATAAGGTAGTCAAATTTTTAACATTAATTTATAAGGGGATGGAATAGTGAGTATATCAGACTGTACTATTAATCACGCTCATAATTCATTAGTTTCAATATATGAATAAGATGGTGCTTTTACAATTAGTGGGAAGAAAAGTTTGTTAACACTTTACCTTAATAATATAATTTTAACAGATGTTTTAAATAAACTATCGTCATCAATCTTTTCAATATATCCATCTTCTTCAAAAAATAATCTAAAATTAACAAATATCATTGCTAGAGACTGTTTCTCCCTTGTTGACTAAATATTGAATTTTAAATCTGATTCTCACACAGTTTTATAGAACGATGTGAAAATAGACAATTTTACAATGATTTAGACTGAGAAAGCCTTTTTAGCTTATGTTTTATCTATTGGAAAAGTCAGTTTAGTTGAAAGACAAAAAATGCTTACTGATAATGCAATAATGAATTTTGCTCGATGTAAATTAATCTTAAATCAAATTACCATAGATGGAATCTTATTATCATCGATCATAAAAATTATGGATTCAAAATAAATCAAAATTGCGAATTCCAAATTCACCAATATTTAAACATTTTATGCCTTAAATTTAGTAGATATCTAATAAAGCAATGACATTAAATCAAAGATACATTTTTCTAATATTACGATATAAAATCTTCTTGATTTTAATTTTAGTAGCCTAACATAATACTAATTTAATTATAATTATATTCATCTTGATTCTTCCTAATGCAGTTTATAAACTAATTAATTAATAAATCACATGAATCAGAAAGATTTGGTATCAACTTTTTTTGAGGAATTTGTTTCAAATTCGAATTAGAATGGATCTTTGATTAAATTGAAAAGTATCACTAATCAAACTCAAGTGTTATTTAATAAAATTATGTTATTTAATAATGATTGTTAAAATTGTTGGAATGGCTTACTATATTTAGAATTAATCGATTTCTAAAAAGCTTTAATCTCAGAACTATCATGCATTATGAACTACATCAAAAATTATGGCTGTATAATGGCAAAATCAGATGCATAGATAGACAGTACAATATAAATTGATAATTCAATATTCATTTCTAATAAGGGGCAGGTTGGAGCAAGTATTTTTGTCTAAAATTACAAATTCTATTTAAAAAATTCCATCCTTTTGAATAATACAGCGTCATAAATGGGAGGTGGTATCTATTTTTCAGAGGGTTCTTCAAGATTTACTTTATATTCTTCTTTAATTTTTAATAATTATGCAGCATAAGCAGGAGGGATATATTTATTTGGGAATAGCAGTTTAACTAAAAATAATTTTATTAAGTCTATTGTCATATTCAATTTTGCTAATTTGTCTTCAAATAACATTAATGAATTACCTTAACATTTAAGTTTATAAATCAATCTCATTGAAATGTTCTCTCAATAAAAATTAATCGAGAATCATTTATATTAGGTTCTATATTTAAAGCCTTACAAAATTATATCCTAAGATCACACTAAATCAACTAATGTCTTATTTATTCCGAGTGGTTAAGAAATATAAAGTTATGAGCTTTATAATCCAAAGCAGTAAAAATATTAAAATTATATATATGATATAAAAATTCTGTTTAAAAATAGTATGAATGAATTATTAATCAACTTTCAAAATTCAACTTGCAATATAGAATAATAAACTTATGATGCTTCTGAAAAATCAATTGAATCCATTAAAATATCCAAAATGCAGTTTAATTAAGATATTAAGGGTTTTGACCTTGGGTCACTTTAATTCGACATAGATCCATATAATCAGGAAAATAAGATTTAAGAGATTTTAGCTTATTGCAATACGTCATATTAGGATGATTTATTAGCCTATAGAATGAGAGTCAATAGTTTCATGTGCTAATTAGGAGAATTCTATATTTATTCCGGATGTCAAATATGTCAGCCGTTATAGGGATTCTATTCTGTAACATATAACACTACAAAATGCTCTATTTTCGATAAAAATAAATTTGATGCCATTACTTCTAATAAAATTTAACTCAAACCTGGGTTTTGGAGGCCTAATTAAATTTCAGATGATATAGAATTATGCTTTAAAAATCCAACTTACTGTGAGGGAGGATGGACTTTTGGAAATGACCTTTGTTCTTAGGGACATATTGGAGGATTGTGCGAAGAATGTGATAGATACAATATAAGAGGAGCTGGATCATTCTTTAAAGATTAGAAACAACTAGAATGTAAATAATGTTAAGAATTTTCGAGGTTATTATTAACCTTTTTTTTAATATCAATTTGGTACACTTAATTTAATTATTATAGGGCTATCCTTTCTACATTATTAACAATCAGAAGTATTGAAAAATCCAATTAATTATTTGCATAACTCAAGGTAAGGTAAAAATTTGTAGAAATATTATTTAAACTAAATTAAGGTAATTTAATAAAATATTTAGATCATGAGAGTATTTTACTTAAACTATTTCTCAATTATTTATGGGTTTTTTCTCTTATTTTTACATTTAATATTCGCTTTTCTTTCTCTTTGAATTTTATAAAATAATCAAGCGATACATCCTATTTTATGGCGAATTATTTTGAATGTATTTTAGCTGAAATTTAAGGGGTTGAGTTAATTTACAGTAGAATCTTGATTATGTTTTTGCTAATGGTTGCTTAGATAATCATAATTTATATTGGATTTAAAGTTGTATCCGTTATAACTAAAACTAAATTTAGGATGAGAATCATATCTATTACAATTTTATATTTGTATATATAAAATTACGCATCCTTAATTAATTAGTAAATTTAAATTTATAAAAACTAGATTGTTTTCAATTCTGGCTGTCAGAAAAATATCAAATTTAGACTATATATCAGGTGATGTATCCTTGATATATGGGACAAATAGTCATATCTCATGGATATAGGGATTTGCAATTCCTGGATCAACATTAATTGGATTGATCATACCCTTATTGTTGTTTCTAATTTTGTACTTAAATAGAAAGAACCATAACAAGATAATTTTTAGAAGACATGTAGGATATTTATTTAATGAATATACTCAATACAACTATTTTTGGGAAATGATCAAATTATGGAAGAAAACCATTATTATTATTATTTTAATCTATTTTGAAACTGAAATATTTTTGAAGGCAACATTATTAGGGCTGTGTTTATTATTTTACTAATTGATTGCCTAGAATTCTAAACCCTTTATTCTATAGAAGCTTAATTTATTGGATGTTTAGAGCAGTCAATGTTGTTCTATAGCTATATTTTTTGCAACAGTTAAATACATATGTGAATAATCCGAGCAATAGAATTCTTCAGCACTTATTTAAGGTTTTATCGTAATTACAAGCATAATATTGAGTTACCCATTTATTATTAATATTCTAAAAGTCTATTATAAAAAATATCGGGTGCAAGGCTTAGCGTTATTATTTTAAGGATTTAAATCTTTCAAACATAATTTTAAATTCACTAAGTTTTTGGGGGAAATATTAGCAAAATAGAGATAGAAAGAGGAGTAGACTCAAAGGAATATCTAAAAATTAAAGTCAATACTCTTAAGGAATAAATCAGATGGACAATTGTAAATAAGTTTTAATTATTTTTAGGGGAATAAACAACTTTGGAAAACGTAATATGTAAAAAAAGAAATAAATATCATTAATCTTAGATTGCAATAATAAAGTTTGATAAATCAACATACATAATTAAAATTATATCTATATCAAAAAATAATAAACTTTATTAAAAAAATTTTGATATAATATTAAAAACTCTCATCTAAATTTTGATTAAAAAGAAATAGCTTATTAACTGATTTTTCAATCCTTTAAAATCCCAGATCCATTTAAGAGTTTTAAATTTTTAATTGTCAAATGCAATATAGCTAAAGCATGATAATTCTCCAATCCTAATTCTAAATGATTGGTATATTTTGGACTGACAGAATCATATTAGGAAGTAAATTTGTTTGAAGAATGAAATATTTTTTAGATATAAATTGATGGTTGTCAAAAATTAATTCTCTCAATCGATTAAAAATAGTATTGACCATGAGCAGCACTATTGTTTGTTTTTTTTGAAACTTTTTAAAATTTAATTGTGAGAAAGATTTATCAAATATGATGCTTTATTAAACTATAAACTTTAGATTTTTTAATTTTGTCTATTATTTAACATAAAAATAGTAGGATCTAAATTAAAATAAATGGCAAAGTAAAGAATTAAGATTCAATTCTAGAAATCGACAGTTCCATTTAAAATTCATAAAGAAGTTTATTCTTTTTGTAACAGGAATAATCTTGAGGCATAAAACTATCATATAACGAGCTTTGGAAATTTATATTTTTGGTTTGTATTTTCGAAATATTATAGGTTAAAATACATTTCGAAAATCTTAAGGGAATTTTGACAGAAACTAATTAGTTTGGTATATATAAGAGTCTAAGAATTACTTGATTGGCTTAATTATTGTTTAAATTATTGAAATCAACCAAAATATCAATTACCCATAATTACTTTCCTAATTGAATGTATTTCATTTTTCAAAATTAAATACAACAGAGTTTGATGTTGGAAGTATGAAGCAACTTCAATAAAATAATTATAATTAGACATTTAATTTAAGCTTTGGGCAATATAAATTCAAATGTGAAATGATTCTCTTATTCAGGTACAAAAATTATTTTGGTTCTAATAAAAAGCAAAGCATTTACCAAATCCTTAAAAAAATGCTTTAAAAAAAATAAAGATAAGTAGAACAATCTTTAACATATCTATTTATTATATGAATGTAAGCTTTTACCAGTTCTAATTTGAAACATTTATACATTAAATAAACTTAATACCAATAAAGAAAAGCAATATAACTAATTATTTTTCAAAAATAATTAATAGTTAAAAATCTAACAAAATCAATATTAATTGCATTTTTGATTCATAAAATTCACAACAATTAATTATTAATTTTTTTTTCTATTTTCGAATAAGTTAATAAAATACATATAAATATTAATAATTTAACAAAATTTTAATTATGAACAGGTTTATAAGATATATTGCATAAATGGATGTTTTCGGAGTTCCAATACATCTTTTAACAAAAGGTAAAGATTCTAAATTCTAAAGCATTATTGGTGGATTAACTACTTTAATTTTGGGAAGCACTAGCTTTATATATTTTTTATATATAATTATCCTTTGGACCAGCAATTAAATACCTTCAACAACAATTTCAAAACAATTAACTTTAGGTTATGCTGAATTTGAATTGCCTACAGCATCCATTTAATTAGCATTATAAGATTTCTCATCAGATGTAGATCCATTTAGAAAAGAAAATAATATCATTACTCCATTAATTTTTGTTATATCAAATACAACAATTGTAGATGAACCAGTCCCAATTTATAGCAGTGAAGATAGTAAATATAAAATTCTTGCAAAGAATGGAACTTTAATTCTCAATGATGGCTCTGATGAATATGAATCTCTTTAAAATAATACTTAATTCTTTCTTGTTTTAGCCAGATGTTCTTCTACTATTACAAAAGATGGAAGTTATTGTGCTGAAGAAAGCATAATTGACAACTACTTATAGAAGTTTCATGGATTGCTAATTCTAACTGTTAAATTAAACTAATTGAATTAAATAACAAGAGATTTAGAGGTTTTTGAAAAATCATATTATACTGCTTTAGATTATTCGAGACCAATCTATTCACAAATTATGTTAAAGCAATAAGAAACTGTAATAGATGATGGCATTCTTCTTAGCAACAATAAACAATACATATTTTTAAATAATTTTGAAATGACAAATTAACAAATTGATAACTCATTTCCATCCCAAGTTGTAAATGCTTTATCTGAAGCAGAATACGATTTTTCAAGCGCAGGATGCTACTTGTTTAGAATTGATAATATCTCTATTTAAGAGAATATAACTATGCCAAAATTAGGTTAAGTACTTGCTCAAATTGGCTCTATTGTGCAATTAATATTTTTCATTAAATATTGTGTATATTATTATAATAATTATTTGCTGGAAAATGAATTGCATCATGATATAATAACTATGTATTATCCTCAATTTAAGGACTGCAAGCTTAACTTTTTAAATCTATTTAAGGTCAATGAAAAATAAATAAATAAATTTCAACTTATTGATAATCTTGATGAAAAATATCGTCATTTGCTTTAAAAGGCTAAAGAGAAATGTCGACTTGATAACATATTATACGAAATCTCAAGGATTCAGTTTTTCCTACAATAATAATTTGGAGATTAAATCTTATATCAAAGTCATCAATTAGGAGGGAAATTGATAAACAATTAATTAGATTTGTTAAGTAATAAGGAGTCTAATACATAAAGTGTAAAGCCTGTCGAATCTATTGAAGTAGATTATGAGCCATTAGAATTGCTATTAAAATAGTATTGATTAAAAAATATTTTCTGACATTATAAATTAGATTAATTAATAATCACGAGAATTCTTGATTTCTTGCTAAATCTATAAATATTATATTAAATATAATATAATTCTCACCTTAATAGGAGAACTGTCTATGTAAAACAATATGGTCGTATTTTAATAGAATTACATCAATCAATCAACAATAAAATTACGTTTGAAAGGTTGATAATATTTTATTATTATTTTTTGAAGAGAGTAATAATAGAGGAATGAAACCTTAAATTTAAGCTTCATAAAGCCAAAATATCAAATCAGGAGTATGACCATTAAGTTTAATATGAGAATACATTTTTGGGAATCAAATTTATTTAGCTCTGTCATTGATATCAATATTATTTTGATTAATCACCTAGTTTTATTAGTATTTTTGGATGTAATTATTTTTATAATTATGAAAATTAAAAGTGTGAAATTTATGAAGGAATTTAAGACAACTATAAAAATTCAATTGAAAAATAACATTCATATTGTGAGTTAAATTGAAGGGCATATTCATCTAAGAGTACAAAATATCTATCAATATAATGTTCTTTTTCATAGTATATTGTTATAATCTAAAATGGTTTAATTGGTTTTATTATATTTTTAATTATTTTCGCTTCAAAAAAAGCTCTAAATCATAACATATTAAATTCGAGCTGCTTTCTAAAATGATTTTTCTACTTGCTTCACTCTTAAAATCTATTTTTACGCATGGTCTAAATGCAAAATTATTGTTGATTTAATTAATTTTCAAGTTTAATATTTTGACCAAATAGATGAGAAATCATGAATTATCACGACTTTAATAAAGAAAAGGTCTTATTCCAAATGGAAATTATATTTTATCCTAAAATCTAACTCTTCTTTAACTTATAAGACTTTTATTAATTTTTTTTTCTTTAGTTGTTCTTATTATTGTTGTATTTCTTTAAAATCTAATTTTGAAACGACTAAAAGTTATTCTATAAATCTATGAGTATCGAACATATTAATTTTAAGATTTACAATTAAGGTTCGCTTTTATTTTAAGTTAATGATATATTAGTTTAATTAAAGATGATGATAAATTATTATCCATCATCACTCAGAGTTCCAATGAAAATACTAAAGCAGTATCTATTCTATATGTGAATAAGATTTGAACTTCCTAGAAGTTTTAAAATTAGCAGAAAAATTCAATTGAATTGAAAGATTAAAATTTCGCAAAGTAAGAAAATAAAATAACACTTAAATTAGATGTATCTGATATTCGACTTGTGTTTTTTTACTAAAATTCATTATAAATAGCTGTTTGGATCAATTAGGAAGTTACAGAAAAACTATTAATTATGTATGCTTAGTTGACTGGATTAAAAAATCTTAAATTATAATTTTAGAAGGAAATTTAAATAGCATGCCTTTCTCTAACCATATTAAAACAATCTTGTAGTATTATATATTAATCTAAAGAGTTTTTAGGATTCTCAAAATGCTAAGTACATTAAATTGGCTACATTTATTCTAGCCAATAATATAAGGTCAGACGTTATACTGGTTAAAGGATTATAAATATAAAGGGGGTGATTTCAAAGAGTAATTTAGAAAAACAGTTATCAGATTATATCAAGGTTGCATTATCATCGTTGATACCAAGTAACTTTTTGTAAAGTTAAATTTTGACAAATTTTCACAGTTCCAAACTTGGAAATCGATATTCTAATTATTGTGACAAATATAATAAGTTTAGGTGAATGATTATTATTACCAAAGACATATGAATCACTAACATTAGATAATAATTTTTTTGTGGATTAAATTAAAAAAATATATTATTTATTTCACTTTTGAAAAGTCGCTTATTTGAGATTAAACAAATTTTTTCTTGATTCGGTGAGTAGATTTAACGATGATCCAGAAATGCTAACAAAAAATGATTAATATATTCTATTGACATACAATAGATATTAAATGGTTGATCCATATATTTTTAAGTTAAATAATAAAAGTATTAGTTATTGTCTATCGGTTAAATACAATTTCTTTAATTAATTTTAATATTAACGAATGATTGCTTTTGGTTAATAAAGAAATGCAGTTTGATTTTCTTCAAGTGGATTCATATTTGAGAGGTATAGGGGAAGACTTCAAAGCTTTTGGCACATTGTTGTTTTTTATTTTTTATAAATACTTAAATCATAAACTTCTGAAGGAATTCACTCTTGCTAAAGTAGAGTTTACCATATAAATTAGGTAAGTAAATTTTTGTATTATGATTATTTATATAAGAATCAATGATTAATGAAAAAATAATCATTAAATCAGAATGATTATTTTATTAAATATTTTTTACATTTCTTATCTTTATTATATGGGATAATTCAATCACATTTTTATTCATGATCGACAAGTTAGATTTCTTCATCAATTCTGGATTTAAGTTCATTAAAATTTTCAAAAAGTTTGAAAATATCTGCGATTTCATATTTTTATGGATCAATCAATTTTTCTATAATATGAATAAATTTTTACTCATAAGACTTATTGATTTTTCTTTACCTTAGACAATTATTAATATTCTTATGAGTAATAAATTACCCAAAACGAATCGTTAAGCATCAACAGGAATTTTTAAGAAATCTTCCATTCTTCTTTTTACTATTGAATAGTCCATAAATTCTTCTAAGAAAGTTGGCAGTAACTATTCGTAATTCTCTATATTCTCGTTTGGTTTAATTATAGAGGGAATAGCAGAGTAATTTTCATTTTGTTTTTTAATATTATTGACCTCTCCAGTGGTTTTAGGTAGATTAGTGCCTATCACAGCCTGACCATTGTTGAAGATTTTTTTTTTTTATTGAGTGATTTTTTCATTAGAGTCATCTTGGATTTCTGAAAGAGCCCTTTTTGAATCCTCTAGAGTTTAATAATAGACGGAGCATGATTATCCATAAAATTGTGTGTTAAAGACTTTTTCAAATCTTAAATTAATAACTTTTCCAAATTACTAAAAAAATTCTGAAATTTGTTTTTTAGTTGCTTTCTATAAAATATTTTCAAATGTGATTAATCTCTCATCTGGGTCAGATTGTTTTCTATTAGCCATGATAAAAAAAAATTAATCACTTTCCCCTTTAAAAATATCAAACGGGTTTTTATACATTTGTTCGAAGAATGTTTCAATTTCCTATATATTAAATTGTAAACTATTATCACTATTTGCAGGAGGTCCATGCTTTTTAATTAATTCAAAGGCATTCATAGCATTTGAAGTAAAGCATGGATGTTTCCTAAATTTTTCACAAATATCTAGGTTTCTTTGAGCTTAATCCTAAGTTTTAAATTTAATCATTGCCCATGGTTGTCTTGTGGAGTTTTCTATTTTAACAATACACTCCTCAACTTCATCCCCTTAAACTCTTGTTAAGTAATCTTTGATCACCAAAGTCCATCCATATTCTATGAATTCAACTGTAGTATTTTAATTAATGAGGTTTTAAGGCAATGGAGCTGCAAATGCCCTTAAAAAAATTGATGATTCTTCTTTTCCTTCCAACTCAGATTTAGATTTCCTTAGCTTCAAAATATTTCCTTTAAACGTAATTGGCTACTTTTAGATTCTTTAAATTAAGTCATCAGCATCTGACTCATTTTAAAATTAAACGCTAGCCTAACCATTTGCTAAATGTAAATTAGACTTTAATTGCTGTTCTGTTTAATTCATATTTATATCAACTGATAACACAAAGCCAAATTTTGAAAATTCATTTTTTAATTCTAGTGCATCTACATCCTCAGGTAAATTTTCAATCAAAATATTTGCCTTCCAATTTGTTGGATGAATCAAATAAGGTTTGACTCTGATTACGTTTTGGATTATTATCGAGTCATTGAATTTCTTTATAGCTTGTTCCGCTGAATCTTGGTTAGAATATGTAATAATTGCTTTTCCTTTGGACATTTAAGTAGACTTGTCCTTCATAATTGTTAATTGTAAAATTTTTCCCGCTTGCTTAAATTTTTGAAAAAGATACTATTCAGAAATTCCCTATTTATCAGATAATATTTTTGTACCAAATCTAAATTCTCAATATTGATGATATTAAACAATTTCCAGCTTGAGTTGGATGAAAAATCAAAATTTGATTACATATTTTTAAATAAATATTTATTTATAGTTTTAAGTGATGATGAAGTTTAAAATGATTAATTATTATAAAATTATCAGTAATCAATAATCCTTTTTCAATTATGCTTTCGCTTGGAATATTATTAACAATCGAATTGGATATAAAGTGAAAAATTATGGTTAACAAGTAAAAATTCATATAGCAGAATATAAATATATCTTGTACAAATGTAATGTATATTTTAATATAAATGCATAGTGATTCTAAAAATACAATTGGTGATTTTAATAAACATAATTTATGTCTACTTACCATTCTTAAATTATTATGAAAGTGTGATTAAGACATTGTAAAGATTATTATTATTTATAAATGTAAATAAAAGCTGAGAATGAATAATTTAAATAAAAAGGAATCAAAGCAAAGGTAATGATTTAAGACCAATAATAAAAAATTGAAAATAGGATAGATCATTGTAACTGCATAATAACATTGATTCTTTATTTAATATCATAATTCAATTATCCTAAAGTCTATATATGTAATATCTTCCATTAGAGCTTTCATTTTTCTCAAATTTTGCACAATCCCAAAACACTAAGAATTATCCATCATTCGTAATCGTACCTAAACTTTTATTCCATAAACACTCAATAGTTCTTACTATTTGGAACTTGTGATCTAAAGTCTCTTTAATAATGTATATGCAACATTTGTGTCTAATTATGATTAAATTTTTATTTGGATTGCACAGAATTGGAAAAAGATAACAGTCAGCATTAACATTTAAGCATAATTCTACCTCTTTATCTTTATTCTCTTGGAAAACACCATTCTAAAGTTCAAAAACAGACACACCAGAGTTAGCTGCAACCCACAGAAATAAGTCATCTCTCAAAAATTTAATTCTTTGCCCAAATTCATTAATGGATTAATTAACAATGTGATTGAAAATCCAATCATCCCCTTCTTTTTTCCAAATAATAATTCTTTTGTCTTTTCCACAAGATACCAACAAAGTTTCAGAATCATTTAAACTTAATCCATATATTTCTTCTTAATGCATATTTAATTAGGCTTTATACTTCAACACATTTTTGATGAAACTCAACTCCCAAATCATTATTATTTTATCATTTCCTGCTGAAAATAATAAATTTTCTTTCTAATTTAAAATAATACAGTATATAGGTTTAGAATGTTCGATATATGGTTTTGAAGATATCCACTAATTTTACTCCTATTATTACCAACATCGAATGGAGCAATCTGCTGAACCTGATATAAAGGAATTAGAAAATTTACTAAAAATTAATACGTTAACACTCAGAGAGTGATCTTCCAATTTACATAACTCTTTAATTTTACTATTTTCAAATCTGAATACTCTTATTTCAGAATTACATGTGGATATCATGATTTGATCAGAATTATTAAATGAGATTGCTCTACAATATCCTGGTTATAGCATCGAATCATCAATTAATTTTATTTCAAAATTTTGAATTTAATTTATTATATTCGGATTGTGCTCTTCTTTACTAAAATAATTTTTAGTAGATTCCTATTTCTCAATTACTTTGAAAGCTCTTTTTAAGTCTTAAACTTCATTTTATAATTGTTAATTCATAAGTTAATCTATAAAGGATACCATTTTCTATTAAAAAGATTAATTATTTTTTATTAAATTATCATGTGTTATAAATTTAGACTCCTTGTTCTTTATTAGATTGTCCAACTCTTCAAAAAAGCTGTAAGTAAAAGTGCTTCGCAAGACTTAATCTAATTAATTTTACCATTGTTATACAATCCCTAATAATTAATCAAATTATGAAAGGATTTTTGTTTTGAGATTCTAGGCCTTTGTTCCAAATACCTGAAGAATTTACTTTGATTCCATTATTTAGATTTCAACACTTTCAAACTTTCGTTTTTGGTCATTCTCTATGGTTGACAGGACTTTTTGAAACCCAACTATTTTTACATTCCCCTCAAAGTGATTCATGCACTCATTGCATAAAAGTCGATCAGCATTTGATAATTACTCATCAAATAGAACCATCTAAATCGGTTGGTTATGATTTTTTGAACATTTGATTTAATGCTCATTTTCAAGTATTTAATATTTAATCATTATAGATATTAATTATATACTTGTTATTTAATATAATAATAAATACTGCTAAGAGGGTGTTGAATAACTAAATCTTTTTAGTCATCTTAGTGAAAATATTTTTTATTTGGCGATTGTTGATTTAAAAATTTTGATAGGAATATCCATATGGCATTCAAAATGAATCGGTTAAATATTTTTGGAGATTTATATTTAGATTATAATCAATTAACTCATTAAAGTAAATAACAAACAAAGAAAGAAGAAGATTATGAAAATAGATTACTCAGATATATTTTCCCAATAGCATGGCTCATAAAAGACCTAAAAAGCATTTCGTATTCAAGAATTAATTATCGAATTAATCTTTCTGGCTTACTACATAAACAGCCTTAATGCTTGGATGTTCAAAAATAAATTTTCAAAGAAAATTTAATTATACTTGATTATTGAAAATAGATGAATAAATTATTAAAGAGTATTAGCAAATATCTACTATTTAGTAATTTTTAATGGATAAAAGAAATGTTTAATTGTTTATACATTAAGATTAGGTTAATCAAAATTAGAGTCTCAACTTCCAAATTTATACAACAAGAAAATTTGATTAATTGATCTTGCTGCAATTAATAACACAATCAAAATAATATAAACAAACTTGTTTTTAATTATTTTAAATATACTCGATCTAAGCTCCTACTAATAAATATTGATTATAAATCTGCATTTCAATTTGCTCACTTAGAGCTGGGATTAATTACTGCAGCTTTATCTAAATTTTCTGTAGATTTATAATATCATTTAAATACCCAGTGTATAAAATTTTAAAGAAATTTCTTGAATGCAAAGCCCTAATTATTTCATATTGAATATAATAATGCATTTATTATTGTATAAATCTTTAGACTTCACTTATCTTTATATAAATTATGCACGCTAAAAAATATATAAATCAAGTGTGAATGAGAAGATAATAGCAAATTGATGAAAAATTCAAGGAATAGCTAAATATTTTATACTCAAGGAAATAGCTAAAAATAGCTAGGCATTTCATTCTATTAAATAACCTTATAAACTTTTTGCCAAAATTAATTTTAAATTAATATAGGTCAGCTTTTTCTTAGTTCTCCATTGATTTTAACATTTAAATTGATAAATAACTTTAAGTTAAATAAAGGCGGACAAGGAATATGGATTCTTTATAAGTAAAGATCAACAGCAAGATTGATAATATAGAAATAGAGAATTAATTAGTTTTTTCAAATAACCCCTTGGCCTTCCCAAATAATTAATTAAGACTAGTAGTTGTGCTAATTTTATAATAGGCATTTTATTGACTACATTAATGACGAAAGTACATTAGTCAATGACTTTCAAAAATTTCCATCTTTATATTCAGATCATACTCTTGCGCATCTTTCAGCAAATGATAATAAGCAAATATTTTGATCTATAGAATATTTAATAGATTTTTGAAATTCAGAACTTGATGCCTTCAAATTTATTACAAAAACGAAGCTTTACCAGAGCTAATTATGTCTCAACAGTTCTCCAAATTCTAGAACAAAGGTAATACACTAAATCCTTGAATATAGAAATAAAAGCTAAAATAAAATACTTATTATTAAATATATTTACCAAAAATAATTATTGAAATTCATGTTTTGAACTAATCAAAAAGTTTCTTTGTAACAAACTAACTTTTATTCTGTCTAACAGTTTAATAGATTTATCTTTATGGATATTCAACACCTATCTATATTCTAGAAATTTCTTATAGCCAACCCAACTTTAGTAACTCAAGGCTAATCAAATACAAAGTCATTAAAGGAATTAAGATTCTAATTTAATTACTTCGAATCCACTCAATAGCATTTTATTTTTTCTAAACCTAATATTTGCATATCTTACATTCTCTTTTCTTTGTAAGACTGACTTAATGATTATTTTAAATATTACTCATCTCTCTATTAATTATACAAGGTTATAACTTTCAGAATAGAATTTTGATTAGGATTAATAAGGTCTGTTTAATTATTTAGAATTAAAATAGTTACAACAACACTTTCCGTATAAGAAATACATAGTTAATGTAACTAAAAACCCACATTATTATATTGCATAATCTCTTTAATATTTAAAATTGAAATAAAATAATAATGAAATTAATTTAAATAATATTCGTTTTTTTGTTTTATAAACTGTGCCTGAAAATAAATTGGCTTCCTATCAAACACATATAAAACAATTATAATTTAATAATGAATTGTTTCAGAACTTATATTTAGTTAATCTAAGCTTATTTTGTGAATAATGGTCGATTACATCAGTCCTTCTAAAATCAAAATTTGGAATAAAAAGCAATTAAAATTCATTTTTGTTAGTTCTACAATATATAATTTAGATCAGCAAATATATGCCTTAGCTTATGTCGCTATTAACAACTTATCTTGAAATAGTTTCAATTATTCTATATTTGGTTGCTTATTATTCTATGTTATCTTGTATGTATTAACAATTTAAAAACAATTAGATATCATTTTTTTCAATAAGTTAAAGCTTAACTTAAATGATCATATATTTAAACTAAGAGAAGGCCATTATTGAGATCTTGTGATAATATGTTTAAAAGAAAAAAAAATTGCATTCTATATAAAATTGATTACATTAATTAATGATATTTGAGTGTGAAACTTAATTTATTTATAAATTAATTATTCTTTTATTATTACATAGGTTAAGTATTAAACAATCTAAAGAAATACTAACAAGCTATTGAGTGTTTCGACAAAGCTATTTCTATTGATCCTAACTTTGAGATGGCTTTTATTGATAAAGGTAAATTCGATCATAATATATGCTTGCCACTAACCTTTACTGCAACTATGAATTATTACATAAGTTAAAGTAATATTAAGATGCAATTTAATGCTTTGATTAAGCATTTCCAGTTTAATACTAAAAGGAACATAATCCTAAATGATATTTAAATTTAGCTGATTCACTAAAACTGTCAAATCTAATCTTTAAAATTTTTGAATTAGGGAACAAAAATGAAGCAAAAAACTTTTATAAACTTGCATTGGAAAAGTGATCACCTGACAAGAACTATATAAAAAAATACTTAATAAATTACGAAGCTTCATATTTTGTATTATTCAAATCAACTTATTCATATCGAAAAAGGTTTTTAGTGAAAATTAACATAAATTTCTAATTTTTTGCAAATGAATTCTTTTTTTTTCATCCCAGTTGAAAATTAAACCGAAAAAAAAAAAGTTAAAAATTTATAATTTTTCACAGAAAATCTTAAATTTGACTTTAAGTAACTTTGAATTAGAACACTTAATTAATATGCAAAGGTTATGTGTTTCACTGTAATAATTGCAGATCCAGCAACTCTTGCCTGATATACGCATTCTCCATCATAAACTTCTTAATTTATGTTACAGTTAGAGAATTATTACTCAGATAAATAAGCGTTATCTTAAAATTATAGAAATAGTAATTCCTGTATATAATTTAAATTTAATTTTCTGACGAATATCAACGATGATTCCTGCTATCAAAATCAGGATAAACAGATAAATAGGATGAACCCTAATTTATTGGAAAACTCATTTATTAACGATATCAATATAAAAAATAACTGCCTTAGTAAAAATTATACGAAAATTTAGAAATAAATTGGCTTCTTTTCAATTATCAAATTATTTCAAAATGTAATTCTTCTATTCAAACATAAATTAATAGAAAAGAATATCTGGATATTATTAGTATTATTGATATTCCCTAAAGAATACAGTTGCAAAATTAGAACATAACCTAATTTTTTGAATTTTGAAAGGTCTAAATCAACAGCGACCCTTAAATATTAAGACTAAATAATAAGTTGATTGTTGTAAAAATTGCCAAATTAAAATCATATTTAACCCTATCAATAAAATAAAAATTCTTGCCTACCTAGTCTTATTATCTTATAACTTATGTTTCTTCTAAGAGTAAATTTCTTTTATCAAATATAAAACTAATCAGATTGATTCTGTAAGTTGATTCCTCATTATAAGTTATTAGTGTTGGTAATCTCCCTTTAAATATTCCTTATTAGTTATTTTAAAGTGTATCATTAAAATCAGTCAAAACTGAAATTTAAAATATAATTTTTGCTACTAAATTGTAATGATGCTGCCTGGTTGTTCAACGCCTGATGTCTCTAAAGTAGGCATTTTATTTCACCTGGGATTACATCATGACTCGTCCTATTATACCTGTGTTGATTTTGTTGATGCTACTCCTAATAATAGTTCCGATGCTTATAAGATAAGTTATCAAATTACTATCACCGGTTATAAAAATTTAACATTGAAATCCAAAATTTATACTTCTGTTTTCCTTTTCTATCCCAATACATTCATTGAGTTGCCGACCTCTCCCTA